GTTCTTTTTCCTGTAATTAAGAATCAGGAGTTATTGTCAAAAATGATGGCTGGATTCAACGCGGGATGACTCATCCTTGTAGCCGAAAGTCAGAGCTATAAGTCATACACCCACACACTTCGCCGACACCAGGGACACGGACAGGAGTATGTTTCAGTTGTCCATCTGACTAATAATGTACTACAGTAGACATTTCTTATATATAACCACACTATTTGCGTCAAGTCAACATCAGTAGACAATCATAGATCTTGAACGGTTTCCTGTTAGGAATGTTATCTCATTGGCGTGCATGAAGGATGTCGATTCACTTGTCGCCAATGAGGCATCAAACATTGTGCCCGAGTGTGTGAATGATGAGTGAACTCATCACACAATAGGATACATCAGTATAACTGCATACCAAACATATCTTACACTGAAGAGAAAATGGGTTCAAATGAAACCCGGAAGAACACTGAATCAGTACGTTTCCCAAATACATATTTATCGACATAACAGTACCTCCAAATTTTCATTAGAAGAACTATACAAAATGATAAGATGAAAACGAATGGAGATAGCATAATTTATTATTACCCATACTCTATGACACCGTTGACGAGCTGTAACAATGGTCATGACGTCACAGGTCTATCATTGATAAATTCATAAAGAGCATGTCAGTTTCTTGACGAGGTTTCCAATGTAGGGAGAAGGAACTACTCCTTCAGTCAGTTATATATTATTGGTTTGTAAGTTATTACATTCGTGTGTGTGTCATCTTTGGAAACCTGTGCCAACCTGTGCCTAAACGTACTTACGTAATAATCTTCATTAAAAAATAGTTGTCAGCACCTATTGGTAGAAAAGGTATATACAATTACTGAAAAATGGTAAAGCAATATGGTATATAAACTAAAATCTAAGTTGTTTGAGTGTAAGTTATTACTGGAAATAATGAGCGTAATGGAACGGTTATTGAGAGACTATTAAAGAAGTTGCAAGGAATGCTCTTCGTTTATGGAAGAGCCCAACACTGTAAGATAACCTATTAGACCAAAGTCTTATCTCAGGTTAGGACCAAGCCATGCACTGCTGCTGGCAGACGTCCACAAATATGTTTCCTTAATATTCATTTATCGGGGTTTCCACTGTTAATCATGTTAATCTTGCGTCAGCACATTATTCTTCACGAACATGATCATGATAGATTGGACGTGAACCATGTTATCAAACTCCGTGGTGTATCGTTTACGGCTATTTGGCGTCAAGGGTCTACTTGAGTATATGTGGTGTTATGGAAAGCACAAAACTGGATGCATTACAAAGAGGTGTGTGGTAATGTGTTTTGATCCCTGCAGTTGTCCTCACGAGTGGCATCATTAATGATAATGGCGAATCATATTTTATAGTGGAATGTGATAACATGTGTTAATGGGATAAACTTACCTTTTCGCTCAGGATAGTTAACATGCAAGACTTACCCAATAATAATAATTGTCAGGTGTGTTAATGACACCTGTGCTAAGAATGAGTGAGTGTACGTTGCTCAACATGTGTTGGAATCACTCGCTATATCACGGCCGTCTGCAAATATTCGAATCTTGGCTAGGCAAAGCAGTGGGTGACAACATGAGCAGCATTCGACGTCAAGAAATACATTGTGGAGGCTAAGCTGCATTTATCTTCGATTCAAATAAAGCAAGATAAAGCTTGACGATATATGGCAGTACGTTTCTATTTTCCCTGCCAGTAAGAATACCAGATCCACCGTCGCTGACTTATAACTGGATGCTGTTTAAGGAGGGAACGTTCGCTTCCGACAACCCGCTGCAGTGTCCTAATTTGATATCGATAATAGGGCGCCGTACGTCATCTGTCTAAATTACGTGCCCTTTATTTTGAAGACTTTAAAGCTCGATATCGATATCCACACGTAGAATTCTGCTTGTTTGTTGCAGCTCTGTGGTTTAAAGCAAATTCCCATGGCTGGGGACACCCGAAATGGGAATTTTTTCTGGCTTTTGTTTTGCAATTGTGTCTGAACCTATGCAATAATGTGACTGTGAAATAATAAAAGGAGCAAGCTGTGTTTTAAGCCCCTATTAGCAATATTCCAGGAATTATATCACAGCCGTGAAAACCAGAAAAGAGGTCCACACACTGTATCCATATTGGAAATCGAAATCAGGTTTGCCCGGTGACGAGCGAACGTTTAACTCAACAGGCTACGTCTACAGGCCTGGAATGTTAACATTATTCAATTGCCCTTTTTATCCGAAACCACCTACCACAGCAAAATAAACAGATCTTAGTTTGGTTCATTTTTCAAACTAACAACATGGATTTTGTGAAGTATGGAAGTATGTCAACAATTATTCGATTAATTCTACACATACCTACTACTACTACTACTACTACTACTACTACTACTACAACTGATGGTATCGACACCGAGGTCATTCGAATTCAATGATACCACCCAGATACCACTCAATGATACCGTATCTTGTCCTTTTTGATAAATCCAATGAAATCATTTATATTATTGATTTTTTTCTGCCCCTGTTGACACTAATGGGATTGACAAGATTCAGGAAAAGCGGGGTAAATAAGCTGACCTCGATTTCGAAATGTCACGCTTGCATCCCAAATACCAAGTTGTCCAATTCCCCATTGCTCTCGGTGCCTTAGGTTTGGTACCTCCCAATCTGTTGTCTGACATTGGGAGTGTACCCGGGTTTGCTGCAAGGAATACAGCTCTTCTGGCAATCTTGGTAATGCAGAAGGCTGCAGTGTTGGGGAGTCTTCGTATTCTCAGAAAAGTCCTGGGTGGGTACGACAAGGCAGCGCTTCCTGGGATGCGTATAGAGGGGCAATGGCCCTGCGCTGATGGTGAGCCTAACCAGCCTGACTGTTCCAAGATCATACAAACTTTCTTTGCTGCATATATTATTTTAATCTGTAGATAATAATATTAATAATAATAATAATAAAAATAATAATGATAATAATAGGTAATATGAAGAACATTAATGTAACACGATACTCATAACCCACTTGTAAATCAGATTGAGGTGAAGATTCTGACGCTTTTTGCCATTCATCAATTTGACATATTCTCCTGAAATACTCGCAATGGTCATGGTCAAAGATGTTCCCAACTTCTCCTTGTTCAGTCTGACAGATACTTATTCCGTATTGCTGGTGATGTTAGGGATATCAATGTAGCAGAATTCTTTACTTGACGGGTGGACCATGAAAAACCGATTTGATTAAATTTCAAATAAGATCTGGAGGAAATGACTTTGAACACCACGGCCCCACCCTCCCTCTCGTATAGAAAAAAGTTGAATATGCAGGAATATTACATTCAAACATGATGACGCGTTACTTTTCGCGAATGTTGAATGAACCCCAAAGTCTCCATTAATCAGGCTAAATGGACTTCATCGATCCACGCCGTTAGGTGCCATGACACACTGTCAGTCAGATCACAATTGTGAACACCATTCCTTCTGACTATTCATAAGTTTATGGTGGCCATAAAATTCAGTGGTATGAATATCAAAGTCTTTACATCTCAGATTCAATTCCATCCGATTGCAAGCGAAGCGCCTTTACAAATATACCTGACTCGAAACGTTGCTGTTCATTAAAATTACCTTGGATTTTATCGTGATGAGTAGGCATTGATTGGTTCAACCGTTATTACCCTTTAAGGAGGAAGATAACAAAGTCACCGAGGAAACCGAGGGATGCCCCTTGGTTTGTTGGAAGCAGGGGCTTCGCCGGTTGTAGAATAACAATGATTGACTTCCCTAGAATGTATTTGGTTTTCAGTGACCCTTGATCGAATTCATTCTGAGCCCGATCGTCCCATTCGTCGCAGAAATGTAAGTCACATTGTCATTTGACGTCGTGTCCGATACAACGTTATATCCACGTGACGTTATCCCCGACGTGAAATTATCTTGGCTTAAGTGTCAACAAGGGGATTATCTCCATCCGTTCCTGTGCTTCGTTCTTGCTACCCATGTACTAGCATGTATTTATAGAATAACCCACGAGGTACGAGTGATTACGGAAAATATGTCACTCGTGAAATTAATGTTTTAAGTTCCGAGCTTTAGCGAGGAACTTAAAACATTAATTTCACGAGTGACATATTTTCCGTAACCACTCGTACGGAGTGGGTTATTCTATTTATTACCCATATTCATATTAAAGACATGTTTTAAGAAAAAAACAATCAACTGTCGCCGATCAAGAATCAGCTGTTTTGTATCAATCCGCGTGTGAAAAAACACTGTCTGCTCATTCCAACCACATTACTCAATTAACGTGCAGTTACGCGTGAAAAATAATAGTTCTGTTAAAAAATTGTAAAGATCACATTATTGCAGTTATATTTCTGTCCGATTTACACAGCGTACTCTATCTAGCATTGATAAAGAAGACAGGTTCCCAAAAAGGTTCATCAGGTTTTTTAATCAAAGCTTGTTTTGACAAGATCTCTTCACTGACAGCCAGCCCCCGTCGTGCATCGGCAGATACATGCATTTCACATTGAGAAGAGGAAACACGGAAAACCTGTCAATTTTTGTATGTGTCATTTGACAAAAATGCCAAAACCTATAACAACAACATAGACGGAATGTACAGAAGTCTTGTTTGTTAGAGAAAAGTAACGAAAAGAAGCTAAACTTTGAAAAGTACGATTGCTGTCACAGTGTCGGAATGAATGACCCGACTTGACCCAGAAATGAGACAGCCGAAACCAGGAATGACAAGAGAACCGGTTACAGTTTAATCCGGACAACAAGTTGAATTAACATCGTGTGTGATTTGAGACAAGTGTCACTGATGGGAAACATGTGCATGTGGGATTTCAGGAGGATTTGTCAAACGCGGAGTGGACACAGTCAGGTGACGGGAGTTTGTTGATATTTTTATGTGATTCATAATGGTCGAATACCTGTTGATAGACAAACACAGTATCTGGGGATTTGGTGATAAGCTGTCCGCATTCACGGAGTTCATTTAGTTCAATATCGGACACAGGATCAGCTCGCTGGGGTAAGTTTTCCTTTCCTTGTATTTTTAATTATCTCTGTTTTGATTTCAAAACCTCCGAGTTCAGCAAAGTGCATCGATTTTGCAACCAGATGCTGGTAATCATGTCGCTAAGGTAACACTCTATGCTACCCTTGATCCCCTTCAAAGTAGACAGTTCGAATTCTGAACTGTCTGATGTGCATGCCGAAATAATAAATTTGCAAATAATAATGTTCAGTTGCACCTTTCCTGTGTCATTAACCCTCATAGTCATACGGTCAGCGGACGTCAGTCAGCCTGCATACCGCTCAGCGCCGTACTTTGCAGACGTCGCGGTTACGAAAAACGTATACATTGTATAAAAAAGTGTCACGTCCTTAAGTTATTTCTTCACACAACGTTACAAAATTGTACGAAATAGTGTATCTTTATGATGTCTTTCGGAAAGTCTAAATGTCGTTGCAAAATGAATTTGTTTTTATTCTCATGCCATCGTTGAAAGTGTGAGTAGTCATAATTTTCGTGCTTTTCTTACCTTTATACATTTGTGAACTAAGTTCATGTCAACTTGTCAAGTTTAGACTTTTTCATTGTGTTTTCATTTTCATTGGCAGTTATCGATGTCATCATCGTTCACAAAGGCAAACCTGTCTATACAAAGTCCGGTTTTTGGATTCGGGTGGTCGAAAATTTCATCACACAGCAAGCCCTCTAACACAGACGCAAACCAGGACTTGGTGGTGATGATCTTGGCGCTCTAGAAACAGTTTCTGGCAACATCACAATCTAAATCTTTGAACTTCAATCTGGCCATATGCAGTTTTGACAACAAAGACATGAAATGTGTTCAGAGGTTGAATTATACGAATAACTTTTCATGTCAGTCAGATCTCCGTCCGCTTTAACGAGGTCATTTACTTTGACAGGACTCAAATGGCCAGTCATGTTTGTTGACAAACGGGGACGTAGTTTTGGTTTTTACTGTAAAATGAAAATCATGAGAAATTAATGAAAAAAATGATAATGTGAAATCATGTTGTTGATATGAAACTATGTGTCTTGTCTTAAAAATCTCGAATCAGTGAGATTGTAGCACGTAAAACATCTGAAGGGAAAGGCGTGGATTTTTGAATGAATGGGATGAGAAAAAAATAGTTCCGTTGTCCAATGAAAATTGATCTTTGTTCCACTGACCAATCAGCTTCGAGAATCACTAATTGCACACTGTGCAAATATCAAAAAGTTATTACACTGCATATCTGAGCCCATATGGGTAATAATGTGCATTATTAGTTGTCTCTGTGTTGGTTACTGAACACCGCTTTGAACACGATTTCAGTTGTATCACGGCGTGTCATATAAATGTAAGAGGAAAGCCCGTTATGTGAGACTTTTCAAAAAAATTTCATATGAACATTATTCGTTCTCATCTTTCCAACAGAAATGACATATTGTCAAATTGTAATGAAATGGCTATTTTAACTTCGGAAACAACTTGTGATCAATATCAAAGATGAAATATGTTCACTTGAAACATTTGTACCATCAATAAGATGTTCATGATGTTTCGCATTCAGGATGTATTTATTCGTTTTAACAGCTATATCACATATTTAAAATGAACCAAACGCCAATTACAACATTTAATAGGCATCTGTTGCAATGTGAGCACATCGGAAAGGTCAATAATGTGCATAAAACAGTATGCCACTTGAAATAGCCATGCCAACATGATAACAATTGACATATTTTAATGATGTGCGACTGATGAATGTTACAGGGAAAAACGAACATTCGACCAGTTTAACCTTCTGTATATAATTAAAGATAACGTGGTAGAATAACCTGCCCCTATGGATTTATCACTTTATACATGGTTACACACATCATATACATGTTTGATCATTAATTTTACCACTTGATAATCGGAGGGAAAGAGGGTTTGGGGTGGGTATGGTACATTTATATCTCGGTACATCAAGGCTAGTTGGTAAACACTTACACCAGAAACGAAATAACCATTCACCTTTATCAAAAATGGGTAATTAGCCTCGTCCATACAGAAAACAAACCTGATAAATCGCTATCGCCTTGTTTCCTCCGGTACCAGTCCCCTTTTTGTTTGTTTGTTGTTTAACGCGACACGTAGCAATATTCCAGCTCTATAACGGCAACCACTAAATAAGACAAACCAGTGATTGATGATCCACGACGTCGGGGTAGGTTGACACACAACTAAGTCACCGAGACCGGAAACCCCAAAGCAGCATTAAATCCGGCTCACTCAGTCACTCATATACATAAACACAAAGTGGAAACATTGATTTTATCCCAGCCAGTGGTATATACAGAGACAAAGTAGTATGAAATACGAGCTTCTCTAGAACCACTAGCTTCGCATCAACCAAATACTCGTAAATATTCTTGGATGGATGTTCATCCAACTTGATCCGGTTGATTGTTTAAGATATTTCCTCAGAATAATGGCGCTGAAGGGTAAAGATAGTGTTTACATGAAAGTAATTTATTGCCATACAACGACACGAAATGAACAAAACAGAGATCTCATCCGTATTTAAAACGTCACCTTTGTCGCCTTTTTGGCGCTGCTTGTGTTCGGGAATTATCTCCTGAAGGATGTTTTCCTGACTAGGTGTGCATTTTTACATTATGCGATGTAGGCATTTGTTTTGTCTGTAAAGATTCAGAGCTTGATACATGAATGGGTATCAAACGTATTCAGCGAAACGAGTGTCAGAATGTTTTTATACATGAATTGTGTTACGAGTTCCGTCAGTATGCGTGCGTGATATGAATTATGAAGTCCATATGGTGGTGTGATGTTTTTGCTTACTTTTTAGCTGAACGCCGCATTCAGCAATATTCCAGCTATATGGTGGCGGTCTGTCTGTTATGTACATGTACGTCACTGGTTTGTTGAATTCTATACCTGGGGCCATGTTAGACTCGCCAATTGAATTATCTTCCGTTTTATTTGACATCGAAATAAATAAATGTATCAATGATATGCCTTACCGTATATTTTATAAACAACGCTATTATCACCTTTGCATTTATATATACAAGGTATAGTGAGGGTGTTGGAAATGTACGTCAAGGTAAATCAGTACTCATTAAGTTGCATATTCCTATTCACTCACCCTCAATATAACACGCGGAGTGGCATTAAATATTGGGGTAAGTATTCTCCTAAAAGTGGAAAGTATCCTCGATGTTGATGAATTTTCACTTTCGAGCAATCATCAGTTCCTTCTGCACTATACAATCAATTAACTAATCGATGCCAAGACCGTGTGTCACGTTTTGTGTCTTCTTATAGATCAGAACAAAGGACGGCCTACATCGGTCCTTCACAGAGAAGTATTCTTCATACGGAGTACGACACTGGAATACTGGAAGTCTCTTCCTCCTAAATCCCGTTCGGTCATCAAAGTACTTAGTCAAAGCGCTTCGCTACATCTCTACACACAGTCGCTTGACAAAGGGCATTGAGCTAGTCACATCGAAATGTTACGCCAAGTGATGACTGAGTACGATGGTCGTACAGTAAAATAATCCTATTGTCAGTCCAAGCAAGTTTGACTCATGTCGTTCAATCACCAAATTGACTTTCTGATAATTTACATTTGTTAATGTAGATCATTCTTAAGCAAATAATTACCGTTAGTACACACAAGCAATATACCAGTTTCAGACAAGGTAGTGATTACAACGTTTAGAGCGAGGACGTGGACCACAAGCCCTCTTTAACTCCGATTTATCACTAATCACTACATAATGTGGTCAAATGATGTAAGTGTCAAAACAGTTCACAGCTGGCGAAATTCATTTTTGGTGTCCTCCGCCGTGGTACGGCTAAAATATTGCTAAAAGCAGTGTACTTCCAACTCGCTCCGATGCAGAATGGATCGCAGAACCCAATGCCTGTTTGTGTTGCCGTGTCATTATCTACGCGTCCTCGATCTAAACCCTAAATAAAGCTGACTGCCGCGGAAACTTACATTCACAAACTTACCCTTCTTCTCGTATGCATAAACGTGTTAACATTAGGGACCAGAATACAGAACCATTTAATCTAGGGGAGTATGCCCTTCCTAAAAACAGGCGTTTACAAGAAATTAATCAATTAATGACACATTCGAACAATTTCAGTTTCACCATTCAGAGACTTTCATCACGTGACAGATCAGACGCTCTCTATCCGAGAGATTCTGCGATAATTGATTTCTGAAGTTAACTGTACGGTAGATTGTTTCTGATGAAACGAAATACTCGAGGACTGGGGTAAATGGTTATATGGATCCATTATTAACCTCTATCACAGCCTTGGTAATACGCGATGTATCTGTCTGGACAGCAAACAACACTTTAGGACTTACCAAATCAGTCAGTTCTATATGGGTTAAAGAGTTCTTCTTCCTGTCATTATGAATCAAGAGTTTTTGTCACAAATCATGGCGAGATTCAACGCGGCTTCATTGGGCCCATTTACAAGGTGCATCCTTGAAGCCTTAAAGTCCCAGCTTTTAGGCACACGTCAACCCACAAGTGTTTTGCCAGGGACACGCCCAGAAGTATGTTTTTGTTGTCAAATTGATAAATGATATACCACAGAAGGGTAGGATAGGGTAAAGTAGGGTAGGTCTCCAGTTAGGCATGTTATCTCATTGGCGTAAATGAGGGATTTCTAGTCACTTGTACACGATTTGTTGACACAACAAGGGACACGCCAATGAGCATCAACCATTGTGCCCGAGTGTGTGAATGATGAGTGAACTCATGAAACAATAGGCTACATCAGTATTATTGCAAACAAAACATGTCTTACACTGTAGAGAAAATGGATTCTCATGAGTGTTTAGGATAGCCCTGAAGAACACTGAATCAGTACGTTTCAAATGAAAACTTATGGACAAAACAGTACCTCCATTTCTTAGAAGAACTGTATAAAAAGGATAAGATGAAAATGAATGGAGATAGCATAATTTATTATGCATCTGGTTCAAGATATGTTATTCAGTAGCTGCCCATATGAAGCACACGTGTGATTATTATTACACATACAATATGACATCGTTGAACTAATGAAAAAATAGGCTATATCAGCATAACTGCATATCAAACAATGTGGAGAAAGCGGTTCTGATGTGTGTTTGAGCTAGCCTGATGAACACTACATCAGTACCTTTTAATCACTGGACAAATATTTATTGGAAGAAGTATTTTTAAATACATAATATTATTACACAGCATAATTTATTATGCATTTGGTTTAAGGTATGTTATTCAGTTAGAGCCCATGTGAAGCACATGCCATTATTATTACACATACTCTATGACATCGTTGACGGGCTGTAACACTAGTCATGACCTCACGGCCTCCAGTTAATGAATCAGTGTCGAGCCTGTCAGCTTCTCGACGAGGTTTTCAATGTACATAGAAGGAATTAATTCTTCACTTAATTATGAAGTGTGGATAACAATGAATTATTACATTTGTGTGTGTAACTAACTCATTATAAGAAATTGTGCCGCTCTCGATCGGGAAATATACATCTTTTTGACTCATTTTTCGTAAAATGTGATCGCCAAACGTACTCACGTAATAATCTTCATTTCAAAATAGTTGTCAGCACCTATTGGTAGAAAAGGTAT